CAACTTGAATAGGTTGTTGGATTCAAGATTCAAGGTGCCCAGAAGAACTTGCTCCGGCATCTTGAATCTTGAATCCAAAAACCTATTCAAGTTGAATACGTTTTGAATCGATTTGAATCGGCTTCATCTCGGTCCGCCTTGTTCCGGAGCGAAAGTATAAAGTCTAAATAAATAAACAAATAAATAAATATACATATATATATATATATGAAATAGAGTACATATATACTACATGGAGTATAGTTCGGGCTCGTGTGCGTATATATGCGAAATAGAGTATATATGCTACATAAAGTATATATCAGGCTCGTGTGCTTATATATGCCAAATAAAGTATGAGTTTCGCGGGGGGTACCACATGTGTATATACATATACACACAATACATAGGTATATGTATGTGTATATATACATAGAGAGAGAGAGAGAGAGAGAGAGAGAGAGAGAGAGAGAGCAAAAACCTCGACTCCCGTATCCGTGCCTGCAGGCGGCGAGGCTCCATCTTCTGAGCAGGCCCCGGCAAGGGCGTGCGCTCCCAGGAGGGGTGGCCATTGCAATGTCCGGGTGCGGCTATGTCTGCTAACAAGCTGTTTAGGGTTTAGGGTTTAGGGTTTGTAGGGTTTAGGGTTTGTAGGGTGTAGGGTTTAGGGTTTAGGGTTTAGGGTTTAGGGTTTGTAGGGTTTAGGGTTTAGGGTTCAGGGTTTAGGGTTCAGGGTTTAGGGGGATCCTGTCCCTGTCGCGCCGCGCCGGCAGGCTTTTTGAAGTGCCGAGATGGATGCCAAGTGGCCTCATGGAGATACCAGTGAACAGGCCCGGCCAGCCACGCAGCAAGGGTTCAGCTTCGCCGCGGAGTTGTCAAGTTGGCTAGCAAGGATACAAAGATGATACAAGGATGGGGTCCGAAAGGCGTGGTGAGCTGGGTGTAACTATTCTCGAACCTTGCGGCCGAGGGCTCGGGGCCGTGGAGGGTGTGCAGCTGGGGTTGGGAGTTGTGCTGGCGTGTTCAGCGACGGAGATGCGCAAAAGCGTGCAGGATGTGCAGGTGGCGCCTTCTTCCTGGACCTTTACAGGCTGGGCTTGGCAGGGCAACGCTGGGCTTTGCCGGCAGGGACTCAGTTGGGTTCCGTTTTTACTATTGTACCCAGGAGCTCACAGACATGACCCATACGTTTCCTATGCAGATCTCCTTAGCCGCCGCCCGTAGGGTCGCACGAAAGATCGAAGCCCGTGGCGGTAGGGGGGGTGCGGGAGTTCATCGCATCGGTTCGCAGGTGACGCACCTGATTTTCAAGGGCTGAGTGAGAGGTTGGAGAGGCATCGGTGCAGTAAGCATTGGACTCATTCGAGGCTATGCCAAGAATGATTTGTTGGGATGGGTTTTGATCAGTTCGCTTCGCGATTGCAGGGGCTTTGCCACGGCTTGTGCTGAAGGTGGTGTGGACTCTATAGGAGGGGTTTCGATCCCCGCACACCCTGAGGCTTCCCGGCGCCGCCCTGTACCCATCACTGCGGCCCACCATGGCAATGCCCACGCCGAGTCGGTACTGCTGATATTGGGTTTTGGAACGGATATGGCGCAAGAGTAGCGCTGAGTAGCTATACGAATTTGGGATAGTCGAGTAGCTCAGGTTGCTTGTAGTATAACCCAATATCAGCAGCCGCTGCTCTCCGAAGGGCTCGTGGAGGCCGAAGTTCTTGAGATTTTGAGGGTTTTTGCGTAAAGCCGGGCTCCCACAACCCTGAGCCTCCCCCCCCTCCCCCCCCTTCCTCTGCCATCCCGGAGGTGCGCAGCCACCTGCGATCACCTGCGCTGACATGCCGACATGCGCCGCAGAGGCCCATGATGGGGGCCTCCGACCGGGCAAGTTCTTCTGGGGAAACCGAAGGCCATGTGTGGGGACCGCGGGGAAGAGACAGTGAGACAGATTACATCAGACGCCTGCCCTTCGCTGCTCTCGCGCAGGTTTTTGAAGTACCAGACTGCCAGAGTTCAGAGACTGGCTTGAAGGATGCTTGGAGGCGGCCAGAACTTCATGAAGGGCGCGGCAGGAAAGGGCGCCGTACGCACGATAGCAGGGTTGGTCGTTGAGAGGGTCTTCTTTCGAGCGTTCAAGGGCGGATTCCCGATAGCGCGCAGGCATCTGACTTGCTGCATTTCGGCTGCTGCACGTCACTGTGGCAGAGTCCAAACCCCAAAGCCGCTTTCCCAGTAAGAACAGCGAAGAACAGACAAGCGAAAGCCATTGAAGAAGCTTGCAAGGGCGCGCGTTTGATTGCAGCGCTGCTGAAACCGAACGCCGAACGTTACGGGGGGTCCAAGCAAAGGGTTGCTGCGGAATGGGGCGTCAGTGGTGCATAGGTGGATGCCGCCGTTATACCACGGGATGAGAGAGGAGGCCCCCCGCAACGCAGTAAAGGTTGGGCATGGTTCAGGGAGTCGAAGGGTTTTATGTCTTATGTTGGCACGAAGGGGACCTTCGGGTGACCGGCGATGCTGCTGTAGACAGCGTAGACCCTAAGAAGCATCTGCGGGCTCCCCCGACAAGTTTCGTGCTTGCCGGGCTTGTGCGTGGTGGCTGTGGTATTCGGTTCCGGGGTCCTGGGGGGGGGGCGGGCTCTGTCACTGTGCCCCGGCATGCTGGCGATTCACACGGAGGCCCGGCCAGTCATTCAGTTTGCGCTTTCACAGGGTCTTCCGCCATCTTGTGAAAGTCGCACCGGCGAAGAGAGTCAAGTTGCTGGGAGTGTGTCGGAGGGTTGCGGGGGCACGTTCTTTTCGATCCGCATCATCTTCTGCCTGGAAAGGCTCTGTTGCAAGCTGCTCTGCCGGCGCACTGAAGACGACGATTTGTGCAAAAAAGAAAAGAGCAGCGAAGGATCTCGCTGGAGCCGCACGGTGCCACATAATTGAACGGGGGTAGAAAGGGGTTCAGGGTTTAGGGTTTAGGGTGTAGGGTTTAGAAAGCACGGATCTGTGTTGGGTTATCCTTTTGAAGGCTTCCGGGACACAGAGAGAGAGAGAGAGAGAGTTCCTTAAACCGTAAACCCGAAACCCTGAACCCTAAACCCTAAACCCTAGACCCCCCACTATTGCGGCCCTGAGCCCTCGAAGTGGCAAGTTGCGGACCGCTCGGGAGCCGCCGCCGCTCTCTCAAGCTCCTGCTTTCCAGGATCGTCGAAGGTGCACCGTGACTCTGAAGCAACGACGTTCTGAACTCTATTGCTCCTAACCCTAAACCCTAAACCCTAAACCCTACACCCTAAACCCTAAACCCTAAACCCTAAACCCTAAACCCTAAACCCTAAACCCTAAACCCTAAACCCTAAACCCTAAACCTTAGCCCCGACGCAGCGCTGCAGAGAGACAAGCTTTGTAGGCAATGTCGAAGCTCGTATGGCAGGAGACAAAATCTAGATCAGTATGGGTGCCAGCTGAAGTCTTGTGCAGCAGAGCACCCACCCCGAAACATAAACCTGGCAGAAGACAGAGCATTGTTGACACGTACAGTCCCCTAAACGCTAAACCCTCAACCCTTTAAGCTGGAAATCCCCAAAACTCCCAAAGCCCTAAACCCTTGAACCCTGAACCCTGAACCTTATATAAACCCTAAACCCTATTTACACCCTATATAAACCCTACATAAACCCTAGATAAACCCGAAATAAACATTATATAAACCCTAAAGCCTAACCCCTAACCCTAGGCCCTAAATCTAAACCCTAAACCCTAAACCCTAAGCCCTAAACCCGAAACCCTAAACCCTAAACCCCGAAGCCGAAACTGCCCCATGGAGCTGTGCCCTTTCCTCAGCGCGTGCTCGGCTCCGCACGCGCGGCGGGCAGGCCCGGGTTTCTCAGGGTTTAGGGTTTAGGGTTTAGGGTTCTCCGGAGCACGAATCGCGTGATTGCAGCTTGATCCACTTCTCCATCGGCCCTGTGCTAAACTTAAACCTTGGCATAAGAAAATGGCTAGACCGTCCCCTTAGAGTCTGAGTAGTGTTTTGGTGACCAACAAAGGCTACTGCGTTGTAGGATCTTGGTAGGGCTCGATGTAGAGGTGTAATTCTGGGGCAGAGATGCCGCGGACCAACCCTAAACCCTAACCCCAAACCTCAAACCCTAAACCCCTAAACCCAAAACCCTTAACCCTTAAACCCTAAACCCCAAGTCCTAAACCCTAAACTCAAAGCCCGGCTAAGCCCTAAACGCTTTTGGGAGGAACGGGCCCTAACCCCTATAAACTCTAAACTCTAAACCCTAGGCCCTAAACCCTAAACCTAAACCCTAAACCCTAGGGGCCCTACACGCTTTTGCGAGGAGCGGGGCCCTCGACGCCCTTATCCTGGGACCATGCCGCAGCTTGCGTGGTACAAAAGTAAAGGGTTTAGGGTTTAGGGTTTAGGTTCAGGGTTTCGGGTTTAGGGTGTAGGGTGTAGGGTGTAGGGTTTTGGGTGTTGGGTGTTGGGTGTTGGGTGTAGGGTTGGTACAAAAGTAAAGGGCCGCCGCGGTTTGGGTTTGCGGGGCCAGAACCTTTGTAGAAAGTGCTGCTATGTCTATGCTGTCTGTATTGTTTGATTAAGTAAGTTTAAAAGAATCAATCTATATGTGTAAAAGTTCCCCTTCTCGGGCTTCGGATGGTGCGATGTTGGAAGCAATGAACAGACGCGTGTGTCTTCAAGGCGCGGGAGCGCTTCTTAGCTGGGGTTTGCCAGCCTCTGCAAGTCAGAAGATTCCCATCAGTCATAGACTCACAGACTTAGTTAATCATGAAGGGTTTTGGGTTTAGGGTCATAGTTTCATAGACGAATTGAGGAGGCTTGAAAAGTGTCAAGCGATTGTTCCTAGAGTCAAACCCTAAACCCTAAACCCTAAACCCTAAACCCTAAACCCTAAACCCTAAACCCTAAATCCTAAATCCTAAACCCTAAACCCTAAACCCCAAACCCTAAAACACCTCAAAGCTGGGGCCCCACACCAAGTGAGATCTGATTTTGTTGCGCCATGGAGCGGCCCAACACTTTCGTGCCAAAGGGCGAGGTGCACGATCTCATCGTATCCTGTTTACATTTTACTGATGCACTGCCCCTGCGCGCGGCATCTACTGCTCACGTGAAGAGTGCAGATGCATGCGGCGACATTCAAGACTACTTGAAGTGGAGGCTTCCCTCTTCCTCGTCCTCTGTGGCCGTTTCTGGTGGCCCGACGAAGCTCTTGCTTAGTGCCATGGGTCATAGCCGGTGGAAGATTTCCAAGAAACGTAGTGGGGTGTTCGATGTTGAGAGCGATGAGGTCGAGGTTCCGTTCCGTTGGCTACATCTTGGCCGGAAGTGTGCGAGGACAGGGCTTTCGGGGTTTGGGGGTTTGGGGGTTTAGGGTTTAGGGTTTAAGGGTTTTAGGGGTTTAGGGGTTTAGGGTTTAGGGTTTAGGGTTTGAGGACAGGGCTGCGACGGCCGGGCAGCATCGTCAGCACCCGAAGGGACGGTGAAGACCATGGAGCAGTTCATGCTGAGCTTGTCGGTCAAGCATCTTTCAGACACAACATGCTGCATTGTTGGAGTGTGACCATCTTGAAAGCCCCTCTTCGTGGCAAAGGCAGTGACGCTTGGTAGCCCAGTGGTGCCCTTTTCCCTTTTTTTGGTTCAAGGTTCCCTTTATTTTAAGATGGACACTGGGACCCTAAACCCTTATCATAGGATGGTTTAGTTAACTGGGCCACCAAGGACATCGCAGTTGGCGTAACGACAGCCGAAGGGCGCAGCTGGTCGGTCGCCACTTGCGGTGGCCTTTCCGCGGAGAGGTGCCCAGCGGATTCTAGGCTAGGCCCTAAACCCTAAACCCTAAACCCTAAACCCTCAACCATGAGGCCCTTGTGGGGGACACTGTTCATACTTTTTCCCTTATTGGGGTTTAAGAGGATCAGATTCTCCCCGTACCCTGAGCCCTAGACCCTAATAGGTAGGCCCTTGTGGGGGACATTTTGATATTTTTTCCGTTATTGGGGGTTAAGAGGATCATATAATCTCTAACCCGGACCCTGAACCCTAAACCCTCAGCCATGAACCCTATGTTTTCCCTTATTGGGGTTTAAGAGGACTCATGTTCAGGAATATTCCCTTAGTGGGTTTAAGAGGACTCATATTTCAGGAACATTTTTTCAGAGAGTTGTTTACGGGCCCGCCTAGGATTCCGTCGGCTGCCCCTATGCCACTCCCTTTCTTCGGTGCTGTGCTCGGTTTGAGGATGCGGAATGTGGTGAGGACGAGGATAGTGAGAATGGCCCAGCCCAGTACACTGCCTTTTGTCCGCGAGCAGGTGAGACAGGCTGGAGACTTGGTGCGGTTCGGAGCGGTGACCGTTTTGATTTGCTCCTGGATTCGCCCAGTCTGCGAGTTCGGCATCAGAGAGCAAAGTGCGGAAATTCAACATGCAGAATGGTGGAGATCAAGCTGGGAGACAGCAGCTTGCCTTTGACTTATGACGGCGTGGCTGACTTGTACCCGTACGTGTCCTTGCAGAATGAGCTTGATGACAACGAAAGATACTGCGGGTGGTTGGTGGAAATCGTCCGCGTCTCAGCTTCTGCTGCGCGCAGGCTCTTGTTAGAGGCTTGGTTGTGGCATTTGGACATATCACAAAAGCCTCCAAAGCAGTACCTGGGGTAATGGCAAAGTTCAGGATTTCAGGGTTCGGTTGTTTGAGGCATGTTCTCCCAGAACTAGTCGCCACAGTCCAGCAGGGCTCCAGCATGTTCCAACATCATGTGAAATTGGTGAGTGTATAGAGATACTTGGTGTCCTTTTGGGGATACAAGGAATGTAAGCCCTACTTCACGTGGAGCTGAGCTTCAGAGAGAGTTGAAGCCCTAAATGCGAGACACCAGGTCAGCCATGCACAGTCAAGATTTCCCAGACGCAAAGGTCCCGACCTGGAGAACTCCATCGGAACTACTGGATCCGCCAGATGCTCTCATGAGGCCTGATAGACGGCATTAGTTAGGCCAGTCTGAGTTTTTTTGCTTGGCTTCGATACAATCAAGCTGAAGACCGTGGCCCTACGCCCCAAATCCAGCAAGGAGTTGGGGCCACTTATGTTCTGCAGCTTCGCAGGGATTTCTGCGTGCTTGTGTCAAGATCGGGGTCCGGGCGTCTAGTTGAAGTCTAAAATGTTCATGAGCCATGCCCTCAATATATTGGAGAGCTCTTCCTCAGCGGTGGAGGCTTCGATCTTTTCCGTTGAAAGCCAAAACCCCAAAATCTCGCCCCTAAGCCTCCAAACCCAGCCTTAAGGGAGATCTCCTTCAAGGCACTTTATGGTGTGAAAGCGCGAAGTTGCGTGGAGCCGCCCCTCCCCCCCCCCCCCCCCCCCCCCAAACCTTAAACCCTCAACCCTAAACCCTAAACTCCCCAACGAAGCCTTCTGAAATGGAGGAAATTTCTCCACAAATCCTTCGTTCCCCGGGTTATGGCCACAAAAACCCTGATAGGACTCTCAGCTTACTCCTAAAACCTGTCAGGTTTGAAGTTCCTATTGAAATTTGTGCGCCCTAAGCTAAGACTAGGATCCTTTAACCTTAGCCGTAAACCCTAAGCCCTAAACCCTAGACCCTAAACCCAGCCCCTAAACCCTAACCTTAGACTGTGAATGGAGACGTCAATGAAAGGGTGCTCTGGGCACTGATGCCCTAAAACTGAAACCCTAAGCCCTAAACCCTAAACCTTCAACCCTAAACCCTAAACCGTAAACCCTAAGCCCCGTCAACCCTATATGGATTTTTCCTCTAGTATCACCTCGAAAATACGATCACACTGATGATAGAAGCCCCTCAAACGGGTACCAGATTTCGGGAAAACGCTGCGTATTCCTGGCAAGCCCTGCAAATGCGCGAAAACCCTATAAGCCCTGTAAACCCTATAAGGCCTATAACCCTACAAAAAAAATAATACTCCCCCCCCCCCCCCCCCCGAAAAGCTAGCAAGCCCCGTCAGAGCGCGAGCCCTAAACCTAAACCTTAAACCTCCAGTGCTTGCCGAAGCGGCCAACCCGCCAGCCGGGCTCCAGTCTCTTGTTTACAGAGAGAGAGAGAGAGAGAGAGAGAGAGAGAGAGAGAGCTGACAGGGGTTTAGGGGTCCAGGGTTTAGGGTTGGGGTTTGGGGGTTGAGGGGTTGAGGGCGTTGAAGGGTTTAGGAGGGGGTTAGGGGGTTGGAGGTTGAGGGATTCAGGGGGTTAGGTTTTTTTGGGGTTGCGTTGCTTTGCCATGGGCTTATAAACGTTTGTGACGGGCTTAAACGGCTTATCAGGGTTTCTTTCCGAGGGTTTACCGTTTATGTGTCGTTTTTGGGGCTTATATAGGCTTGCAAGGGTGTTGCCAGGGTTTATGAAGGTTGCAAAGGTTTGAAAGGCTTTACAGTAAGGGGTTTACAAAAGGGGTTAGGATGAACAAGGGCTTGGGGGGTTGAAGGGTTTTGTGCCGCCAAAGTGTGCAGGCCCTTGCCTCACTGGCCCTGAACCCTAAACCCCAAACCCTAAACCCGAAACCCTAAAGCCTAAACCCTAAAGCCTAAACCCTAAACCCTAAACCCTAAACCCTAAACCCTAAACCCCTGAACCCTAAACCCTGTAGACGCTCCTGTCATGGTCCTGGTGTCGGCCTTTGCGGGGGCGCCTCCTCCTCCCCGCCGCAGGGAAGAAGGCCGGCGGTCTAAGGCTTAACATAGAGTTTAGGTTTGAGGGTTCAGGGTTCAGGGTGTAGGGTTTAGGGTTTAGGGCATTGTGAATTGGATTTTTTTTTTTTTGGGGGGGGGGGAGGTTTATTACAAGGATATTTCCCAACATAGAGGTACCCCTTTAATACCCCAAATAGAGTAGATTCCCAGTTCCCCAGAAGAACCCTAAACCCCAAACCCCAAACCCCAAACCCTAAACCCTAACCCCAAACCCTAAACCCTAAACAAGCGAGACCCAGAATTTAGCTCAGAGAAGCCCGCGTGACTGTAACCCCTGAACCTTTCCAGCTCCAGTTCTGTGAGGGTTTAGGCTGTGAGGGTTTAGGGCTTAGGGTTTAGGCTGTGAGGGTTTAAGGTTCAGGGTTTAGGGTTTCGGGTTTCGGGTTTAAGGTTGATCTCAGGGTAGCTGCATGGTGCCTTTAGGGAACGTAAGGGACCATGCAATGTCAAGGGATCATGTAACTACCCTCCCTAAACCCTAAACCTAAACCCTAAACCCTAACCCCTAAATCCTAAACCCTAAACCCTAAACTCTAAAGCCTAAAGCCTAAAGCCTAAAGCCTAAAGCCTAAAGCCTAAAGCCTAAAGCCTAAAGCCTAAAGCCTAAAGCCTAAAGCCTATAAAGCCTATAAAGCCTATAAAGCCTATAAAGCCTATAAAGCCTATAAAGCCTAAAGCCTAAAGCCTAAAGCCTAAACCCATAGAGTTTAGAGTTCATCTCAGGAATCCGTCCCCTCGTAGTTGTCAGCTCTGCATGTAGCCAGTGGGAACCGTCATCATCCATGCCCGGGTTGCGGTTTAGGGTTCAGGGTTCAGGGTTCAGGGTTCAGGGTTCAGGGTTTAGGGTTTAGGGTTTAGGGTTTAGGGTTTAGGGTTTAGGGTTTAGGGTTTAGGGTTTAGGGTTTAAAGTTTAGGGTTTAGGGTTTAGGGTTGTGTGCAACCAGTGGCTGCTCACCAGTTCTGAGTCTTTGGCTTGCGCCGCACAGACTGCCAGGGACGTTACTTCCGAATCTTCCCCAAGTGCATACATGTCTACACGCCCATGCATACGCACGTTTAGGGTTAGGGTTTAGGGTTTAGGGTTTAGGGTTTAGGGTTTAGGGTTTAGGGTTTAGGGTTTAGGGTTTAGGGTTTAGGGTTTAGGGTTTAGGGTTTAGGGTTTAGGGTTTAGGGTTTAGGGTTTAGGGTTTAGGGTTTAGGGTTTAGAGCACATACATACACTACTACATACACTACTACATGGGGAACCACACATGAGGTAGCTTCCCCCTATTCAGTAGGAAAAGCACATTTTCCCCCTGCAAGAGCAATGCATCCGATGTGGCGGCTGAAGTTGTCGCGGTCTGCCAAGGTCCGGGCATCAGCTCGATCGTCCGGGGCCCACGCCGCAAGTCTGCCGAGGCTATCGGGCTCATGCGGTTTAGGGTTTAGGGTTTCGGGTTTAGGGTTTAGGGTTTAGGGCTTAGGGTTTAGGGTTTAGGGCCTACCATGTTTTGGTTTAGTTTTCATTCGGGCGCCTGGAATCTCGGCTTGGGGCATAGGGTCGGGGAGGTCCCTGCTGCACGAGACGAGCTCCTGGGCTTCTGGGGTTTAGGGTTTAGGGTTTAGGGTTTAGGGTTTAGGGTTTAGGGTTTAGGGTTTAGGGTTTAG